CCCCAAAACCCCAAAACCCCAAAACCCCAAAACCCCAAAACCCCTCTTCTGCACCCAAATTGAAATCTTCCTTATCTATTTTCTCTTAACAAATTTCTTCCTCTGAAGTTCAACCTGCATGCTATCTTTCTCAGTGATACAGTTCAGAGAAAGTTCAGGTATTCAGTCGAGGGGGGATAGGTTGTCTCTGGAGATTCCGATACTGGAGAAGTTTGTGTGGTTTAGTTTGGAGGGGTTGGGTAGGATTGTTTGGTTGGCTCTTGATCGGTGTTGGGGTTGAGGGGGGAGATTTTCGATGAAAGTGTCGTTTATGTCTTGGGGGTATATTATGTTAGAGTTGTTCTCTTTGTAGCACTCGTCTCGAGGTGAAATTTTTGGAGAGGAATCAGTTTTCATTATGATTTCACCATATTCTTTTAATAGTGGCAAGTTTGTAATGTTGCTATCAATTCGTGAAGGAGGTCTTGAAGAGCAGAAAACTCTCTTAAAATTTTTCTTACATCCTAAACTAAACGGATTTCTCTCAAACTCTGAATAAGATTTTGTCAGGTACTGATTTGAGGTATACCCATACCAGATCAACCCTCACAAAAACACACAATAAACACTATTAACCCCCCACAAGACCACTCCTACCCCCAACTCCACCCCTATCACGACCACCTCCCACACCTCCATTCCTCCACACCCAAGCACCAAAACCTGGGATCCCATCACCACACAGTACAACAAGTTCAGACTCAGTATAAACAGCATGAATGACCGAAAGGTCCTTCTTCCTACACAAGTGCCGATCCACACGCAGTGGTGGTCGTGCCTCTCGATACAGCAGTCGCAGTAGTAGCAGTGGTGGGAGAGAGGAGGCATGGCGAGGTGACAGGTTTTGCAGAATTTTAGAGAGAGAGTGGCTTTGGTACTGATTTTGAGACCTTTGATATTTTTGAGTTGATCTAGTTCTTTCGGGGCTTCTCTAGAGAATTTATGGGTAAGCAAGAGAGTGGGCAGGTTAAGAGTTTAGAGTCGAGTTTTAATCAATTTGGGATGTGGATATGAGGGATTTTGGGGAAAATAGGGTTTAAAAGTATTTGAAGACTGTAATTCACTAGAGAGATTGTAAAATTAACATCCTTCTATTGTTCTTACCTTTTGGTAGCTTGACTAGGGAGGATGCCAGGGTCGCTAAAAGCTGTTTTGAACATGAAATAGAACATCAGTCAGCTGGAGAAGAAGATCAATATAGGAAGAATTATTCTGAGAATCTTGTTGTTCTCTGATTTTGAGGATTTACTGATAATTATTGACACCATACTTAGTCAAATATAACTTAAAAGTCAGCAAATTGTGAGTAGGAGACGTCTATATTTTCCAATTAAATTTGATGATTAAAGTAAATACCCTTTGTGATATCCTATTATAATCACTTATTTCTTTCAAATGTATCTAAAATTGCCGAGCTGGCTGGTTGCATCAGGTTTGCCATCTTTATTACCCGCTGCTTCATTTAAATTTCTTGAGCTCATTTGTGTTATAAAATTCAATTTATATAGCTCATACGGGGTTTTGGGGTTTTGGGGTTTTGGGGTTTTGGGGTTTTGGGG